TTGGAAAGAGGCACGTCTGGTTTCTTTCACTCAATGGGTTGAAGATCTGATTACTGCGCAGGTAATCCTCAACCTATGGCCATTTGCTTCACAGTCACAATGGACCTCCCCAGCGGTACTTACAATCCAGTTCCAAAGTTTTGATGGCTGCCTCGACCTCTTGACCTTCCTAAAGGGTTCTAGGACAACTCACCATGGCCAATTCATCACAGCCAACTCACTGCAGGATAAGAGTTACTGTTCTAACCCAGCTCCCCAAACACAACAAACCCTCTGATATGAACTCAAAAGATTCCTTTATTAGGAGCACCGGCAGCACCGGCAAAAAGTTTCTCTCGCAGGCTAACAAGTTAATCCGGCCGGAAGATGAATAGTTGTCTACCACACCTATTCATCTCCGCCCTTGCCTTTTATCCACAGAGCTAGGGTGGTGGGGCCTCGCTAGCAGTGGTGGCTCTTCCTTCCCAAGGACCGGCCTATAGATTTCCACTGCTCTCCTCTCCTCTGCCTTCTGCGCATCCATGCATCAGGCACTGGACCCAGCTCTTCTGCCTCTTCCTCATCAGCCACCTCCAGACCTGGGGGCTGTTGACTCTCCATCTGAGGGCTGATGGATGGCCCACGCCTCTGTCTCTCTCTCTCTGCCAGCTCTATTTCCTCTTCCCCTTGGGAGCTCTCAGGTTGCCTTGATCCTGAGCCTGACTCCCACACCACCGCCTCCTCCTCCTCCTCCTCCTCCTCCTCCTCCTCCTCCTCCTCCTCCTCTGATTTGGCTGCTGGAGAGGCCGTTGGTGGAAAGGCCACAACAGTTAAGTTAATATGGAAGAAGTGGTGGAATCGAGTCATTAAATAAAGGATGCAAAAGGAAGGAGAAAACCAAATGTGAATGACAAAAACGAAAAAAAAAATATTTTTAATTATTTTAAATAATTAACCTGAACTGTTGAGTTGTGGCGAGTTGGTTGCAGCGAGTTGGCCATGGCGAGTTGCCTTCCAAAAGAGATTCAAAACCTGGCTCAGTCAACTGGTTTAGGATCCCGATGAGAATTGGCTAGTACAGTGATGGCTAACCTTTTTGCCATCGCGTGCCAAAACCTGAGGGAGTGCGGGGTGGTCGCGTGCGGGCATGCCCACACCCATAATTCTATGCGCCCTGCCCCTCCACGCATGTGTGCGTGACCCCCCTAATGCTCCCCCTGCTTTTGGCATGTGATGGTGGGCCCGGTAGGACTGTTTTTGCCCTCCCCAGGCTCCAGAGGCTTTCTAGGAGCCTGGGGAGGGCGAAAACAGCCTTCCCAACCTCCCTGCAAGCCCTCCGGAAGCCGGAAACAGCCCGTTTGTCAACTTCCGGTGGGCCCAGAAGGCCCAAAAATCAGCTGGCCAGCCCACGCATGTGTGCTGGAGCTGAGCTAGGGCAATGTTTGCGTGCCCACCAATATGGCTCCGTGTGCCACTTGTGGCACGCATGCCATACGTTCGCCAATATAGGGCTAGTAGATTAGAAGATCTCACCTCCAGCCAATTTATGCCTTGGTCCTTTTTAAATCCCCTTTGTTAATTACAGATACGGAATTAACCCGTTTTCTGCTCTGTTCCACCACACTGAACCGTCAGCTCCCTGGAGCTTCTGCTGACCTGATTAAACATGTTGTGTTAATAACTTAGTTGAAGATTTTATCTTGGCCGATTCCCACGTCTTTGCCCTAGAGCACCCCTGGGATGATACACACAGAAAAATACCACCATAGCTCAGAGAAAGACGTTTTCTTTTTTAAAAAGATGGGATTAGACAGTTTCTTCCTAGGTTCCCGTGTCTCAGCGCTGCCGAGAGTTGTTTGAAAATCTGTTAAAAAAGATTTGTCGCTGTGCCATCAAGGTACCTTTGATAACATTGAACAAAGCTTCCAAGTGTCACTTTGTCTTCTTGTCTACACGCTTGGCTTTTCAAAAGGCGGCACAATTTATTTATTTATTTTTTTGCGGTTGTGGCTGTTTTTTTCTCGTCTTACATCAGAAAGGAAGCCTAGCAAACATTTTTGTACAAAAGCTTAGCTTTTATTTATTTTATTTTTCTCAGTGTCTCTGGCCTCTTTGCCACACAAAACCAGTTTGATGTCACAAGGAAGGTGCTGGCATAGAAAACCAGGAGACGGTGAGTTCTAGTCCCGCCTTAGACATGAAAGGCGGCTATGGGACTTTGGGTTAATCGCTAAGAGACTGTGAGTTCTAGTTCCACCTTACTCATAAAAGCCAACTGAGGGATTTTGGGCCAATCACCAGGAGAATTTGTGAATTCTGGTTCTGATTTAGACATGAGGACTGGCTGGGTGACTTAGTGCCAATCACCAGGTGACTGTGAGTTCTAGTGCCACTTTAGACATGAAAACAAGCTGGGCTACCTTGGGTCAAGCATAAAGAGATTGTAAGTTTTAGTTCTGCTTTAGACATGAAAGCTGGGTGGGTGTCTTTGGGCCAATCACCAGGTGACTGTGAGTTCTAGTCCTGATTTAGACATGAAAACTGGCTGGGTGTCTTTGGGCCAATCACCAGGTGACTGTGAGTTCTAGTCCTGATTTAGACATGAAAACCAGCTGGGTGTCTTTGGGCCAATCACCAGGTGACTGTGAGTTCTAGTCCTGATTTAGACATGAAAACCGGCTGGGTGACTTTGGGTCAATCACCAGGTGACTGTGAGTTCTAGTCCCTTAGTACCCTAATCTTTGGTGTAGTCACATGATCGTGGTGGAGCGCTCAACCACCAAAACTTCAAATCTGGATTGTAAATACTCCTCAGGTCGATCCATCAAAACTTCCAACAGCCGCTAAGCAAATGTTACTATATAGTTTATTATGCAGATAGTCCTTGACTTACGACCATCAAGCAACTGGTCGTAAATCAAGGACCACCTGTATTATAAACTCCAAGAGAATTGCCATTCTCCCTCCAAGCAATTTCCAGAAGAGCCGAGGTGGCGCAGTGGTTAGAGTGCAGTACTGCAGCTCCTTCAGCTGACTGCTAGTTCAGCAGATCAGCGGATCAAATCTCACCAGGCTCAAGGTTGACTCAGCCTTCCATCCTTCCGAGGTGGGTAAAATGAGGACCCAGATTGTTGGGGGGGGCAATATGCTATTTAGTATACTGTCTTTGGTGTAAGCCGCCCAGAGTCCTCGGAGAGTGGGCGGCATAGAAATACGAATAATAAAAATAAAAATAAGAATAAGAATTCATATCGGAAACTGAAGATTCACATACCAGTTGAGCCTCATCCCATTTGTCTCGATTGTCTTCGGTCAAGATGTTGCTAATTACCTGGACGAAGTTCTGAGAAGAAAAAAACCCCAGAAAATCAGTGGATTCATCCCTGAAATTGACACACCCTTATTGACACATCCCTTGATCAATCCTCCCCATTTTAAGGTGAATAAGACCTTTCCCTTCAGGGCCATTTGTTAAATAATGATGAGGAAGCCAGGAAGAAAAGGATCTCATGGAGACACCTTTAGATCCAATCTGGATCAATCACTGGGACAAGGGGTTTTGTCTTCCAAGTTTTGAACCCATACTGTAGCCCATCCTCACAGAACTTCTCTCTGGAAGAATGTGTGCTTCAAACTTTAGATTTTTAAGGCATGCGGTCATGGCTATCTATGACTGAGAGACAGATGCTGTGTGAAGAGGACATCTACCAATGGATTCAACTAGAGGTGAGTGATCCATCCATTGGTGAGCCTGATCTTCTATTCCATCTATGCTAGCAATTCTGGAGACTGCTCAAGAAAAGGTGAAGCTAGAACTTCTAAGAAGGTATGAAGAATTCATTTCTCTGGTGTTTTTTTCCCCACTCCACCATACCTTCAGTATGGGTTTTGAGAAGCACCATAGCAGTGTTTCTCCATCTTGGCAGGTTGAAGATGGGTGAACTTCAACTCCCAGAATTCCCCGGCCAGCCAAGATGGAGAAACATTGCACTACAGTACTTAAATAGCAAAGTGTATTTGATCTTGGGAATTCAGATCTTGGGAAGTCTGAAAAACTGCAAATCCCAGATTTGTATTATTTTTAGATTATTTTAGAACCAGAACCCCGGTGATTTCAGCATCGCAGGCATTAAAGTTGAGTTGAAACCTCATAAAGAGTCATCTCCAGATGGTCTTCACCACCATCACCTCCTATAAGCTGTCCATCAACCAAACAGGACAGGTACAGACTCCAACAGATAGTCAAGACTGCAGAAAGAACAATTAGAACTGACCTGCCTTTCCTAGAAGACCTGTATATTGCAAGACCTGTATATCAGAATGAGGGCTGAGAAAGATATCTGTAGACCCCTCACATCTTGGACATAGACTGTTTCAACTTCTCCCCTCAAGATGGTGCTGTAGGGCATTGGATACCCAAACAACTAGAGACACAGGGACAATTTTTTTCCTCCTGACCTCACTCTGCTGAAGGCCTAGTTCTCTCCATCCTGTCTAAAGTCTATCTATATTCACCCAAGTAGTGTGGCTGTAATATTATTATTTATCCTTCTTATTATCTTCTTTACTCTTCCTTTTATTGGGATGATGATGACGATGATGCTTTGCACGTACACTTCTGTACCTGAGACAAATTCCTCAGGTACACTTCTGTACCTGAGACCATGATTGACCAAATAAAATATTCAATTCAATTCAGTTCAATTTTATTTGGAGGAAGGGGAAAAAAAAAATATGGCAATGGAGCGACCTGCTAAGAATGGAGGGGGAAAAAATCCCTCCATTCTTATGATGAATTGAATGATTCATTTATTAATTGATAATTAATAATGATATAATAACTTTGCATGCCCAAATAACTGGACATAGAGACAATTTTTTCCCCCTCATGCCATTACTTTGCTGAACATTTATTTATTTATTTATTTATTTATTTATTTATTTATTTATTTATTTATTTATAATTAAATTTATATACCGCCCTACTCCCGAAGGACTCAGGGCGGCGAACAGCCAAAAAAGTAAAATATACATCTAATTCTCACAGCACTGCCTTACATCTAGGGATATTTAATAACTAGGTAGTAGGGCTGTGTTACTATTATCCTCCCCATTGTTCCTATTGCATTCTGTTATTAGTATCTTATGATTACATTTCTTTGTTGTTTGTATGTACAGTGAGAGCTTCTGCACTGGAGACAAATTCCTTGTGTGTCCAATTACACTTGGCCAATAAAGCATTCTATTCTGTTCAGTTCTGTTCTGTTCTCTGTATTCTGTTTTTTTTTCCTATTCTATTCTGTTCCATTCTTTTCTCTGTATTCTGTTCTAGTCTGTTCTATTTCATTCCATTCTGTCCTGTTCTGTTCTGTTCTATTTTCTCCATATTCTGTTTTTTTCCTATTCTATTCTGTTCTGTTCCATTCCTTTCTCTGTATTCTATTCTATTCTGTTTTGTTCTGTTCCATTTTTTATATTTTCTATTCTGTTCTGTTCCATTCTTTTCTCTGTATTCTGTCCTGTCCTGTCCTATACCATCCCATCCCATCCCATCCCATCCCATCCCATCCCATTCCATTCCAAAAAGCATTCTAAAGAGGGAAAAAAACTATCGTTCACAGTTATTTTTTTAAGAGCACAAGAAGTCTTAAGCTCATCTAAATTCCGTCCCTACTACCATGCTTGTCAATTTGTCACCGATCACTTTCCAAAGATGAGATTCCATCAGGGATGTTTTGTCCTGGCAAAGCACGTAAACTGATCAAGGCATTAATGGGAATCGACTGTCTGGGTGAACACATTCCCTAATCAATACCCTTCTTTGTTACTTGTTTACTGATTCTCTAATCTCCTCTTACGCGTCCCGGTTAAGCCTAGGACTGGCTGATTGCTGATGTTTCAGGGCTGATCATCTGGCATCTCATCAAGCGTTGCCATTTCTTCCTTACACATTTTGGCTGTCGGAGGAATCGAAAGCTTTCATCAAAATGATGAATGCGTTACGCTGTCGTGCCATCTCTACACCCCCACCCCTCCCCCCGTCAATGGTACGTGCGACTTCACAGCACACGAGAAACTATGAAAGAGCTCTATTGGACTCATTCTGGATCAGAGTATTCTCAATCTTGGCAATTTTAAAATACATGAACTCCAATTCCCAGAATCCTGGGAGTTGAAGTCCATACATTTTCAAGTTGCCAAGGCCTGCCACAATTACAACTGTGGGAAACTGGGAGGGGGGATTATATGGAGCCAGGGTGATATGTAGTCATAATAACATTCCTTTCTCAGAGAGTCAAGGACATCTTGCCCTGCACCTGGACAGTTGGAACAGGGAGGCATCTCCAGTTGGGACGGTGCTTGGATTGGACCATGTGATGGACATGTGAGTGTTGGGCAGGGACTTGAACTTTCCTTTGGGTGGGGAAAATCTGGAAACTTTCAGATTCGGGTTTTCCCAGATGTGCCAATATGACATCTCTAGTAAAATGGAACTTTGAAGAACTTCAAGCCTTGGAGTCTTCTTTCATTGGGGGTGTTCCTTGGAACCCTGACAACTAAACTGAGAACTCTCAGAATTTTTTTTAAAAATGGAAGCATTTTTAATTTAAATATAAACCTTCATGTTAGCCCATGGTAACTCACAGCAGTGTGGATACCTGTGTGTAAACTCACCTGTACGTCACTCGTAGTTGGGTTGTAATATGCCCTGCGGAAAATCTCTGTCATGTTCCTGAGTACGTCAAAAGTTGACAACAGATCTCCACTGTAGCTGGTTCCATCCTGAGAGATCTCCACCAGGTTTTGCAAGACTTCCGAGACCCCTTCTCCAGCTAGACCCCTCTGAGCTTTTGAGAGATGCTCTCTGGTCTGGCAAGTCAAAAAGAAGTAAGAACAAATGTTATTTCATGATATTTCCTTAAACAAAAAAGAATATTATGTTTTTAAGCACAACCGAACAAAACAGAATGGTTACTGGAATCGGGTATGTCTAGTCTAATGAAAAGAAGGATTAGGGGCGACATGATAGCAGTCTTCCAATATTTAAGAGGCTGTCACAAAGAGGTCAAGCTATTCTCCAAAGCACCAGAAGGTAGGAGAAGAAGCAATGGATGGAAACTAAGCAAGGAGAGAACCAATTTAGAACTAAGGAGAAATTTCATGACAGTTAGAATAATTAATCAGCTAAGAACAAACACAACAATTTCTGCTTAGTTCCAGGTTGCTTCTCCATCCATTATTTCTTGTTTTGCCATCTGATGCTTCAGAAAATAAGTTGGCCCCCTCTTCTTTGTGGCAGCCCCTCAAATACTTGAATACTGCTATCATAAAACCTCTAGTCCTTCTTTTCTCTAGACTAGCCAAACGCAGTTCCTGCAATCGTTCTTCATATGGATTAGTCTCCATGAGTAATTAATCATCCTAGTTGCTCTTCTCTGCAGTTTTTCCAAAGTCTCAACATCTTTTTTATATCGTGGCGGCCAAAACTGAATGCAGGATTCCAGGTGTGGCCTTACCAAGGATTTGTAAAGCGGTACTAATACTTCACATGATTTTGATTCTATGCCTCTGTTAATACAACCAAGGATTGTATTCGTTTTTTTGGCGGTGGCTGCACACGGCTGGCTCATGTTTAAGTGATAAGCTTATTCCTTCGTGCGATGTGTATTTGTTTTCCATTTGAAATTTCTTACAGGGAGCTTGAAGAAGGATGCATGCATGAGATGGTGCTGCCATTGACCAAGATCACAACTGCTGTAGCAGGGGTGGGTTCTAAAATGTTTTACGACTGGTTCTGTGGCGTGGCTTATTTTGTGGGCGTGGCTTGATGGTCATGTGACAATTCTTTAGGATTTAGCAGAGGTACTGGTCTACTAGGCTTTTAACTGCTTGCAGAGCTGTACCGATCTACCCATTTATTTTTGCAGGCACTGATCTACTCATGTATTTTTGCAGACACTGATCTACTCATGTATTTTTGCAGGCACTGATCTACTCATGTATTTTTGCAGGCACCGATCTACTCATGTATTTTTGCAGGCACTGATCTACTCATGTATTTTTGCAGGCACCGATCTACTCATGTATTTTTGCAGGCACCGGTCTACCCATTTATTTTTGCAGGCACTGATCTACTCATGTATTTTTGCAGGCACGATCTACTCATGTATTTTTGCAGGCACCGATCTACTCATGTATTTTTGCAGGCACCGGTCTACCCATTTATTTTTGCAGGCACTGATCTACTCATGTATTTTTGCAGGCACTGATCTACTCATGTATTTTTGCGGGCACTGGTCTACCCATATTTTTGCAGGCCCTGATCTACTCATGTATTTTTGAAGGCACTGATCTACCCATTTATTTTTGCAGGCACTGATCTATTCATGTATTTTTGCAGGCACCGGTCTGCTCATTTGTTTTCTTTTAACACTGATCAGCTGTAGGGCGGCCCTTTGAAGCCCCGCGGCAAGAGTTTAAACAGTTTTTTTTCCCTCTAGTCATCAGCTGGGACTCAGGAGGCAGCAATAGATGGGGGGTGGGCCAAATAAAAGGTAAGAATAACATGGGGGGGCTGGGGTGGGCAGGGGGGGACAGAACCAGTTTGGTGATGTCATATTGTCACCGCTACTGGCTCGGGAGAACCGGGCCGAACCAGGAGGAACCCACCACTGTGCTGTAGCCATTAACTAAAAATGATACAAGAGAATATTTGTAGCTCAGAGATGGGGTCCTTGGCACTCTCTGAGCTTAGTAGCTTGCTCGCAGATGTTTCATTACCAGAGTAGGTAACATCATCACTACACTGATGATGTTACCTGGTTTGGTAAAGAAATATTTCCAAAGAATGGAAGCATAGAAGATTGATTCAAGCCTCTATTACTTGGCAAGAATTTAGTCAACTAAATGTCTATGGAGAGTCACAATCACCCAGGTCACGGCTGCCCCGGAGGTGCTTTTTCATGGGACAACTGGACTTCCTTTGTTTTTCCTTGAAGATATTTCACTTCTCAACCAAGAGGTTTCTTCAGTTCTGAACTGAAGATCTGAAGAAGTTTCTTGGATGAGAAGCGAAACATCTTCAAGGAAAAACAAAGAAAGTCCAGTTGCCTCTTGAAAAAAGCACCTTTGGGATTATCTTGAGATGCCACCTTCAGTGGTTCAAAGCACCTGTTTCCCATCTCATTCTGAGGGTCAGCCCCAGAGCCCCAGAACTCACCATCATCTGGATATTCCTGTAGTCTATGGAGACACACTTGACGTAGGTGGGAAGCGTCCAATAGGCGATACCATCTTCATCTAGAAGGCACCGCCGTAGGATCAACCCTGATGAGAGAAGATATCATGAAAACCATAACATGAAAAGAAGAGTTCCTCCTCCTCCTCCTCCTTCAAACCCCATTCCCATGTAGCACTGATGATGTTAGCTAGTTGGGTCATGAAATGCCTGCAAGAAAACAACCAAGCTCAGAAAGCACCAAGGACACCCCAGTTCTCCTCTTCCTCCTGCTCCTCTTTTTTTATATATATATATAATTTGATTTATATGCCGTCCTTCTCCGGAGACTCATGGCGGCTTACAATGCGTTAAGCAATAGCCTTCATCCTTTTGTATATTTATACAAAGTCATCTTATTGCCCCCACAACTGGGTCCTCAATTTACCTACCTTAGAAAGGATGGAAGGCTGAGTCAACCTTGAGCCTGGCGAGATTCGAACTTACAGTAATTGCAGGCAGCAGGTGTTAATCACAATGCTATCAGTCTGCTGAGCCACCGGGCCTGAGCCACCAGGCCACCAGGTCGTCCTCCTCCTCCTCCTCCTCCTCCTCCTCCTCCTCCTCCTCCTCCTCCTCCTCCTCCTCCTCCTCCAGCATCAAGGACCTCCACAAACAATTACAAATAACTCAACTACCCCCTGGATATGCCCAAATTAACCTAGTGTGCGTATTCACTCCCCTGTTTAAAAACACCGATGGAGGCTGTAATATCGGTACCTTGAAAAATCAGACAGTATTTTCCCTCTCCGTTAAAACCAAAAGGGTTGTCCATTTAGGTTTCTTTCTAAAGTTTTTCTTTCTTTCCAGGATTTAATATATATACTGCTCAAAAAAAATAAAGGGAACACAAGCAGAAGACATCCGAGATCTGAATGAATGAAATAGCCTTATTAAATACTTTGTTCTTTACATACAGTAGTTTATACACTGCTCAAACAACTAAAGGGAACACAAAACTACTCTATGTAACGAACAAAGTATTTAATAAGGCTATTACATTCATTCAGATCTCGGATATCTTCTGCTTGTGTTCCCTTTATTTTTTTGAGCAGTGTGTGTGTGTATATATATGTATATATATATATATATATTGAGGAACCTCAATATTTATTTTTTAAGCTTGGTGGAAGAAAGAGGCAGTTAGCAATATATATATGTTGCTAACTGCCTCTTTCTTCCACCAAGCTTAAAAATTAAATATTGAGGTCCCTACTGATCTCCGAATGTCCTAGCTGTTTTCCTTTCAGTACCTGAGACAGCTAACTCAAGGTGATCCTTGTTCAAGTGTAGCCACTATTTCTCTATTTTTTTTTTAAATAGAAATATCCTTATCATATTTGAGAAACAAAGATTAAAAGGCAAACTAACGGAAGGAGAAAAAGAAAGGGGGCGGGAGGGAATAATCTGATCGCTTTATCCCAGCTGACCTTAAACCAGGATTATGGGAGAGATCATTCAGAGCTGAGCAGAAGCTGGAAACTGCCTGATTCCCACATCTTACCTGTGGCATTACGGGGACATCGGACAGCCGCTGCATCTCCAGCCGGAGTCTCTTTCCAAACCACGGAGGCCAAGTTGTCTTCATCACAGATTTCTTGAGGCTCTATCAAGAAAGCAACTTGAGAACTTGGAGAATTTGTTTGAAAGAGATTTGGCTAACATTTCATTTATAGATTACAGATTAACAGAGTTGGAAGGGACCTTGGAGGTCATCTAGTCCAAGCTTCCTGCCCAAGCAGGAGACCCTACACCATTTCTGACAAATGGCAGTCCAGTCTCTTCTTGAAAGCCTCCAGTGATGAAGCTCCCACAACTTCCGAAGGCAACTTCTGTTCCACGGGTTGATTGTTCTCACTGTCAGGAAATTTCTCCTTATTTCCAGGTTGAATCTCTCCTTGGTCAGTTTCCATCCATTATTCCTTCTCCAGCCTTCAGGTGCTTTGGAAAATAGCTTGACCCCCCTCCTCTCTGTAGCAGCCCCTCAAATATTGGAACAATGCTATCATGTCTCCCCTGATCCTTCTCTTCACTAGACTAGCCATGCCCAGTTCCTGTAACCGGTCTTCATATGTTTTGGTAATCTCCAGTCCCCTAATCATCTTGGTTGCTCTTCTCTGCACTTTTCTAGAGTCTCCACCAGCGGTGAAATGCTCCTGGTTCGGACCGGATCTCCCGATCCAGTAGCGATGGCAGCGGGTGATTCAGAGAACCAGTAGCAAAAATCCCTGCCCCCCCCATGCCCAGCTGAGCCACGCGATCATCAGAGGCTTTTTTTTTTTTTTACTTTTAAAAGCATTTTTTCTACATCCTCTTCCAACAAAAAAATGCTTTTAAAAATTAAAAAAAAGCCTCTGATGATCGCGCGGCTCAGCTGGGATCATCAGAGGCTTTTCAAAGCATTTTTTTCTGCAACCTCTTGGCTGAAGAGGTGGTTAAAAAAATGCTTTGAAGTGTCTCTGACGATCCCAGCTGAGTTCCCTGATCGGCAGAGAGGCATCTTTTAAAAAATACCTCTCTGCCGATCAGGCAACTCAGCTGGGATCGTCAGAGAGGCTATTTTAATGAAAAGAAGGACTAGGGGCAACATGATAGCAGTGTTCCAATATCTCAGTGGCTGCCACTGAGTATTAGTATTATTATTACCGCTTTATAAAGCCTTAGTAAGGATTCCTAAGACACCTGGAATCCTGCATCCAGTTTTGGTCACCATAGTACAAAAAAGATGTTGAGACTTGGGAAAAAGTGCAGAGAAGAGCAACGAAGATGATCAAAGGCCTGGAGACTGAAACATATGAGGAACACCTGCAGGATTTTGGTTTGGCTACTCTAAAGAAAAGAAGGACTAGGGTGACATGATAGCTGTATTCCAGTATTTGAGGGGAGTCAAGCTATTCTCCAAAGCACCTGAAGGCAGGACAAGAAGCAATGGATGGAAACTAATCCAGGAGAGAAGCAACCTGGAACTGGGGAGAAATTTCCTGACAGTGAGAACAATTAATCAGAGGAACAACTTGCCTCCAGAAGTTGTGAATGTTCAAACACTGGAAGATTTTAAGAAGATATTGGATGACCTTTTGTCTGAAGTGGTGTAGGGTTTCCTGCCTAAGCAGGGGGTTGGACTAGAAGACCTCCAAGGTCCCTTCCAACTCTGTTATTCTATTCTATTTCTTAATGGTCAGACTTCGTATTCAAAACCAGGTCTAACCGATTCCTTCTCTCGCAGCGGCCCAGGAGGGTAGCAGACAAACCAAGTATAAAACTTGTCGATATTTACATGTAGGAACAACAGAATACGTTATAGCCATAAAGGCATTTCATGAAAATTCCCATAAATATTCTACACTTCTGGAAAAGGAGAGGTAGAGTTTGCAGCCTGCAAGATTGAAGAATGAATCCCACTTCTGCCTCAATAATGCCAGCCTTTATGCGTTGAAGTTATTTACGAGACATAAACCAGGGGGAAACTGTCAACGGAATATTAAAGCTATTTCTCAACTCCGGAGCAGGGAAGATAGGAGGGAGTAGAGATTTTTCAAGTTCCAATTATATTTCTTTCTTTCCTGGGTGTGTAAAGCAACTTGTAAACAGAGTGGACACATACGTGGCCCAGAAAGACTAAAGAAGTATTAGCAAAGTAAGACTGACCGTAGACATACCTAGAACCAGAGGCATGCCTAGAACTCAAAACAGCCTTGCCTTACCTCAGTGTTTCTCAACCTTGCAATGTGAAGGGAGAACAATCAGTCAGAGGAATGGCTTGCTTTCAGAAGTTTTGGGTGCTCCATCACTGAAGGTTTGTCAAGAGGAAATGGGACAACCATTTATCTGAAATGGTATAGGGTTTCTTGCTTGAGCAGAGGGATTGACTAGAAGACCTCCAAGATCTCTTCCGTTATTCTGTTACTCTTTAATTAATCATTGGACCAGCTTGCCTACAATAATGAGTATTCCATCACTGGAGGTTGTCAAGAGATTGGACAGCCATTTGATACAGTATACAATTTCATTGTACACATGTTGTGCATTGACAATAAAGGTTTGATTAATCGATTGATATAGGATCTCTGGATTGAGCAGGGTGTTGAACTGGACCTCCTGATACATGAAGCATGTGAGATTCCTCCCCCTCCTCATTTTATTTTACGGCTCCAGCCTTCTCCGGGTTGGTCTGGAGTGTAGATCCCTTCATCCAATCTAGATCAGCTGGAGTTCAATGGGCACCACCTCCAATGTAGTTGGAAAGAATCCAGTTGGGGAAAAGCTAATGATCCTTTTGCTCTTGGCCCAGGCAATTTGTAGTCCAGGCAATTAGAAAGCTGTTGTGTGATGAACACAACATGAGGAGGAGGAGGAGGGTCATTCCTGGCAGGCCATCTGCTCCACCATCTGCCCTTCCTCAGTTATCAGAGTGTTGGAAGAAATTTCCCTGCTTCGTTCCCAGCTGGGAAGCAGTCACCGATGCTGAGAAGAAATAGACAGGGAAGCAGCTGCCAGAAAAGGGATCCTTTAATTCAGGAAGGCAAGAAGAACAGTGACACAGCTGGAGCATTCCTGGGTTGCAAGCAAAATGGTGTATGGATTGTTATACCCATCTTCCCTTTGAAGTTGGTGTGATTTGATAAGATTTTGTATGTGCCTTTAGTTAAGGTGATTGCTCTGAATTCTATCTTCCTGCCTTAATGATTTAATCCTGTTCCTGGGGCTTTGTCTTTCCTATCCTGGGGGTTAATTCTGCCAGGAAAGAGGGAAAGGGGAGTTCCAGGTGAGTTATTTTTAGCCTGATTCCCCTTATCTTAATGGCTCTACTTAAGTATTTCTATTGTCTGTGTTTTTCTTTCAGCTGCTGCTTCTTGGTTTTCTTAAAGGGGGAAGGGTTAGGGTTGAGTCTCTTGGCACTGTTTTCTGAGGCTTCTGGTGCTATGAGGTCCCTGGCACTGTCCCCCTGGGGTACACTTCCCACAAGAGATTGGAGGAACCACTACAATTTCCTTCTCTGATTTTGCAAGCTGCACTGAATGACATCTCTGCGAATGAAGCTTGATGCTCTGTATTAGAGATGGTTGCTAGAAGAGAATATAGAATCATAAGAATGGAAGGGACATCAGAAGTCTTCTAGTCCAATGCCCTGCTCAAGGAGGATCCTCATGCCATCCCAGGCAAACGGTTGTCGAAAGTCTCTAGTGGTGGAGAATAGCAGAATAACAGAGTTGGAAGGGATCTTTGAGGTCTTCTAGTCCATTCCCCTGCTCAAGCAGGAAATCCTACACCATATCAGACAAGTGACTGTCCAGTCTCTTCTTCAAAACCTTCCAGTGTTGGAGCATTCACAACTCCTGGAGGCAAGTTGTTCCACTGATTAATTGTCCTAACTGTCAAGAAATTTCTCCTTAGTTCTAGGTTGGTTCTCTCTTTGATTAGCTTCCATTCATTGCTTCTTGTCCTACCCTCAGGTGCTTTGGAGAATAATCAGAATCAGAATAGAGCTGGAAGGGACTTTGGAGATCTTCTAGTCCAGCCCCCCCTATGAGCCGAGGTGGCGCAGTGGTTAGGGTGCAGTACTGCAGCTACTTCAGCTGACTGCTAGTTCAGCAGATCAGCGGATCAAATCTCACCGGCTCAAGGTTGACTCAGCCTTCCATCCTTCCGAGGTGGGTAAAATGAGGATCCAGATTGTTAGGGGGCAATATGCTATTTAGTATACTGTCTTTGGTGTAAGCCGCCCAGAATCCTCGGAGAGTGGGCAGCATAGAAATATGAATAATAAATAAATAAACAAATAAATAAATACATAAATAAATAAGCAGGAGGGAGGGAGGGGGAGAGAGAGACAGAGACATAGACATAAAGAGATAGAAGGATAGAGAGATTAACAGAGTTGGAAGGGACCTTGTAGGTCATCTAGTCCAACCCCCCACCCAAGCAGGAGACCCTACACCATTTCTGACAAATGGCAGTCCAGTCTCTTCTTGAAAGCCTCCAGTGATGAAGCTCCCACAACTTCTGAAGGCAACTTCTGTTCCATTGGTTGATTGTTCTCAGTGTCAGAAAGTTCCTCCTCATTTCTAGGTTGAATCTCTCCTTGATCAGTTTCCATCCATTATTCCTTGTCTGGCCTTCAGGTGCTTTGGAAAATAGCTTGACCTGCTCCTCTCTGCAGCAGCCTCTCAAATATTGGAAGACTGCTATCCTGTCTCCCCTGGTCCTTCTCTTATACTATTTCAGATAAGTGACTGTCCAGTCTCTTCTTAAAAACCTCCAGTGATCCAGTCGACTAGAAGTCACTTTCTCCTGGTGATTGACCCAAACTCACCCACTAGTCCAGAGGTCTGCAACCTTAAACACTCAAAGAGCCATTTGGACCCGTTTCCCACAGAAAAGAAAACACCGGGAGCCACAAAAACCCTTCCCATGCCTGACTATTTCTTGAGCAGCCACAAAACTAGCAAATGTAGTTGAATTAGATGTTCTGTTTTCTTCTGAAACTTTTCTTTTCTTGGATTTATCCATGGTTGGCCTATCGAGGGTTGAAAAGCTCAATAAATTGCGTGCCGGTGGGTGTCGCGCATTGGCAGTTGTGACGCATATTTTGAATGACAGGGAGCC